ATTGGCGCTATACAAATTAAATTGAACTGAATTGAATTGCTGCATATCAAATCAATCACTTTGGAAACTAATAGCCACCAATGGTGGCCGGCAGCTGCAGCCTGTGCAGATATTTATTTCCTGGATGGTGTGGCTGCAGTAAGAGGAATAATAGCAGAGACAACATGGGCAAAATTAAAATCTTTAGTTATGTTTAACTTGTGCTGCATTGCTCTATTTATTTAAATATGTATGTAAGTATTGTGTAGTAACAGAAACATTTTGTCCCTAAAATCATTGAATAATCCTTAGAAATAATCCTGATGTCAATATTAATAAAAATAATCCTAATTGTCCTTTTGGCCATATTTGTGTAGCCCTACACTTTGTTACAGTTGTCCTCTATAACATTACTGCGACCACAGCCCGTATGTAACAGATCAAATCAAGTAGAATTATATTTTAGATTTTTAGATCTATATTCTAAACTATTAGCTTATTCAAAGAAATAGAAAGTGTTGCACATACAGTGCAGTTCGCTGTGCATGTATTTATCAACCTGAGCAGTACTGTTGTAGCTCACCTGTGTTCCTGTGCTCCAGTAGAACCAGCCCACATAGGAGGGGTGTCTGAAGTAGGAGTAGACCCCGTCGGTGACCAGCACGTGGCTCTGGGCCTTTTCATTCTGGACAATGTGGTTGAAGTTGGAGCCGGCTGTCAACATGGCCGCCTTACGCAGGCCCTCACCACACAGCACCATGAGCAGACCCACGAAGCTCAACCAGTTTAGCTGCTTCAGCTCTGAGAGAGATGACAGGCTGGTCAAACACTTGTGGACACACAATGTGCAGGATCACAAGATTCTGCACACTTTATCATGGTATGTCCAGATGAAGCTCAAGTAGGATCTGTGATGGACCTCTGCTTCCGTCTGAGATCTGACTGAAATCCTTCACCGAGCATGTCAGCAATTATGATTAGAAAGCATCATTTGGTGCACAATTTTCAAACCTTTTGTATGAATAGCTTTAATCAAACTCCAGATTATTCTAAACAATTTTAATGTAAGGTTTCACTTCTCTACTTCTCAATCTGCTATATTCTAACATCCTCTCACTGGATTTCTCTCTACCAGTATAACTCCAGCTGAGGCTTCAGGCTGACATGTCACCCGGTGTACTGTTGGGTCTCTGCTACAATAATGTTATAAGGAGCTTCCGGTTCTAGGACCTTCTATTTTTGGAAAAGTGTCCTGAGATTAACTCTTCTGTTATGACCCAGCTTTGCGCGCCTTATCGACAAATAAAGACTGAATTGAATTGAATTGTTTTGGCAAAAGAGTCTGACTGCAGACTTCATGTCAAAGGACCCCAGGTCAGTAAGCAAACAATTAACTCAGCCATGTCTCTGTATGTCCACTTAGTCTTGAGTCACCTGTTACTTCAGCAGTGGTTACACTGATACACTGCAATATTGACAGGCAAACATTTTTCGTGCCAACAACAAAATACATACAACAGTACTGACTGGACTGAGTGCAGTGATGGACCAACCTGGAACTGTGAGCTTCTCTACAGTGAACTCCACCCATGATGAGACAGCAGCCAGGGTGTACTCCACACTGTGGTTGAGCAGGAACGAGTCCAATGACAGGCTGCGAGGGTTGATGATGGCTGTCACCAGGTACTCAGAGTAATGGAAGAATGACAGGGAGCACATATACCTGCAGAGAGGCACCATTACTACTCACTTTCAAGAGCAACAGGCCCTGATTACAAAATTGACGCTGTTGTAGAAATATTGTACCTGCCCTGGTTAACGGTCATTATTAACAAATAATCAAAGCATCTAGACCTGTTCTATGGTTAAAAAAAAAAGTGTCCTGAGATAACTTCTGTTATGCTTTGGTGCTTCATAAATAAAACAGAATAATATCAGTTACATATTTCAGTCAAATTTAATTCAGTGTGATTCAGTGGTGTAAAACAATACGAAATAAAGTCTGTGGCATATTATAGGGTGGCTACTCGTATATACATATATATACATACATATATACACACACACACACACACACACACATATATATAATTTCAAATAAATTAAGACAATGAAATAAAATTGTAAACACATCGTCACTTTGCCTACATGAATAAACTGATCATACAAAATGACCAGTGACATCTGAACACGTCTACATACCAGCCAAAATGTGTCCAAGTGGTTTCAGAGAAGCTTATAATTAAGCCACAGCCAAAAGTAACTCCCAGAAAACAGGCTCTTACAGCAACCTAGAATGAGTTAGAACACTCAGGTTATCCTAGGTCAAACATCCTGCATTACTAACACAACCCAGTTTCTTTGTACTTAAGCTTGCATTGCTAAATCAGATTAAAAGCAGGTTTCAAGGGGTACATGTTAACTCTAATTATGTATTACCTGTTGCAAAAAACTCACTTATAAAATGCCTGATTTTAATGGCTGCCTCTCGAAAAAATATTGCAATGCATGCTGCAATGGTTTGCAAGGAGATTTCAGAAGAAAGTGAAAATTGCAATTTTTGTACAATTCTTCAGAATAAAATGGCTAGTAGTTTGGTGACATATGGTTAACGTTTTGCGAGGCGGACATATATGATTGGTGAAACGCCACTGTTAAAATGCCTGGCCACCTCAGTTTGGTGTAAAACTTACCACATTAATTTATATTAATTTAAAAATAACATGTTAAAAAAACGACATTAACACATAATTGATCTGTTTTTGATCTGTATTTGGAGAAATGTCTGTAAATTGGAAAAAACAACAACAATTTACTGATTCCACTTTTAGTTTTTACTCAATGCTTTACTGCTGTGCTGCAATAACGTAATGTTTTTGAGTTAAAATACAGTTGTATGCCAACTCTTGGCCACCCATTAACAAATAACACATTTTGTTGAATTGTTCATTGAAAAGATATAAACACAGCATCTCGAGGTTATGGAACATACAACACAATATTTGCCACATTCATGCATTGTTTCATTTTATTTCACAAACTGAACAAAAATAATAAATATATTAAGTTAAGTTATACACTGGACCCTTAAAGTCCCCATGCTACCCCATGAATACTTGTCTAGATCCACTCCTGCATACTTTACCTCAATAGAGTACACCCTTACATTTTAGAGTCACCTAAACCAGCTCTAAAAGTTTAGTTTTTTATTTTAGCGAGAATCTTATCAGAATTAATAATAATCTGTCAAATATCTTAATCATTGTGAGAGGCAAACACTGAATGAACAGCTTTCTGGATTTGGTTCTGTCACTTTCTTTCCAGCACACACAACCTGTCACAAGTATAACGTTATTTATAAAATCAAATGAAACATACCAAGAGGCAGGTAAGTAGTAACGTTAAGCCACTGCACATTTACCTGGCTTAGGCTTCTATCTTGAGAACATTAAGACCAGCTGTCTCGTTCCTCTTAAGCTTATAAGATTAACATGGAGAGGTAGCCAATGTTAGCTAGCTATGTGATTCAGTTAGCCAACATCATCAGCTCAACATTAAAAGTAGAACTAACCAGCTCAATAAGTCATGTCAGACTCCGTCACATAACCTTTAGCTGAAATATGTTCCAACTGGACGGCACTAAAACTTATGTGCGCTTCACTCAAAAAGAGCTGAAAATAAACAGAAGCCAGGAAGTTGGCTAACCCTATCTAACGTCAGCGCTTACCTTGTATAGCGGTCCCCTGTATATGATTAGCAAGAGGCCGTTGATAACTGCAATGTGGATACAAATCGCTATTTTACCGGCAGTCTCCGTCAGATAATCAAAGACCCAGTCAAGATGTCCAAACCAGGTTCTGATCAATGGGATTACAACCACGCTGAGTCCTAAAATAAATGCGTTTATACTTACTCTACCTTCTAGCACCAACTTACTGCCTGCCATGATGGAAGTACTGGGGTTAGGGAACTATCGCGATACCTAAATGGCAACCTTGTGACGTCTGTTTGTTAGCAGCAGCTCAGTAGATTTCTAACAAATGAATGCAAGGGAACTTCTGGTTGAGTCTGTCTTGTAGTGTAGAGGTTAACCTCCACAATTACGACGGAGTATTAGGACCAGGCTAAGAAAAAAAATATTACATTTTTTTGGAAATTACGAGAATAAAGTCATAATATTAACTAAAGTATTAAAGTTATTTATATAGGCTTACATATAGATATATATGTATACATCCAAAAAATAAATCTGCATGATCTTTTTGATTTTGCGCCTGGTTGATTGTAACAGCAGCAACAAGATAGTGATGATAATATTATATATTATATATGTTGACCTGTACTTGTATAGCGCCTTTCATACACATTCACACACCG